CGGCTGAGGAGTCTATCCTTCAGTATCTTTTGTCGTGTATCGAGGCTACGCCTAGCATTGAACCTATTCCAAGAGCAATGCGCCCTACAAGGAAAGGATACCATCCGGGGGCTTGCAAACTTCCAACAACGACGTGAGATACCATCTAGCCTCCACGCCACGCAACTGTTGGCCCCACGCAAGACCGAGCCGTATGGCTTCTCCGTGCCCAGCCTCCTCAAAACAATGGCTCAAATCAGCTTTCCCGGCATACACCTCAACCAAACCTACCTCTACACCTCGATCAACTTTCCAACCCTGTGGGCCCAGCCATCGCTTCAACTCGGGCCTGGTGGCCCGCCGGGAGAAATCTACCTTGGTGGCCTTCCGACACTCGGGTAGCTCAAGGGTACTAGGCCTACAATATACATCCACTTCGGGGGAAACCCTAGGCCAACTTGTGGAACCAGAATCAATCTCAGGATGGCCACCCTCAAGTGTATGTGGATGAGGCACCAAGGTTTCCTGAGCGAGATGCGCAGTCATCACAGCAATGCCGCAAATTCCCAACCATCGCGACCATCTGGATCGTAGTCGGGCACCATCCTTCCCGAAGACGCCCTCGATGCCAGAGTAGCTGTTCCTGCTCGAAGCTGAGCCGCTTGTGTGAGAAGGACGTCGGCCTCCATCTCCAAGCGCGCAACCTCTGCTGCCACTTCTGGTGCATCATCGCGGTATCTGGCTCCCGTGCCAGAGGTGCCATGCGATCGTGGATTGTCGGAGGTGGCAATGAGGCTGCCTGCATTGAGGTCGGAGTTGAGGCCATTGGAGTTGTCATCGGCATTGTAGGTGGAGAGGATGCCGTCGGAGTTGTCGTTGGCATTGCCGGTGGAGATGAAGCCGTCGGAGTTGCCATTGGCATTGCGGGGGCAACTGATTGCCCAACTGATGGCACTGTTGTCGTTGGCATCGGCGCCATGGCTGCAGGGACATCCTGCGCCGTGGCTGCACATATCCGGCGTTGCCACTGGTGTTGATCACTGCCGAAATCACAGGTCTCGCCTTCGGCACTTGGTGGAGTGTGTACGCGGTACCACTCGGTGCTGCTGCCGACACCGCGACCTGTGGAGTCTAGTCAATGTAGCACTCACCTTTCGAACATGCGATGTGATCGTGGGCCCCAGCGTCTTGCACCAGGTCTTCATCTCGGCACTGCGGCGGTCCCTGCACACACACGTTTTGCTGCAATCCTTCAAAGGGAAGTACGTGATCTGCCTTGTCTGGTTGCTGATCTGAAGGATCTTTCCTTTGCATACCCGACAGCTTCTGCAGAAACTGCAATGATAGGTTACGAAATGTTTGTTCGCGAATCTTTCCAACAGGTGTGCTGGGCAGCGCGAATAATCCGGGGGGTTGCTCGTCTCGGCACCCACTCGGTGCTCGCACTTGCCGCGGAAGAACCCTGTGAGATTCACTGACATCATCGGAATCACTGCAGCTGAAGTACTCTCCACTGTCGTCGCAAGGGCTAAGCTCAGGCTCAGGGGTCGCTTGATCAGGACACCCACGAACAGCATGCTGATTGGCAACCAATGCGTGCTGAACAACTTGCTTACCTACAGACACTGAGGCACCACTGGGAACCGGCCGTTCAAAGGTGTACTCTTCTAAAAGATCTCCATGCTGAGCACAATAAGTGTACCGTTTGCTGAGGTCACTAAGGTAAAGACCACGACCTTTGGGGGGCAATTGGTAACTCCTAGCCCTACTGTTACGGTACTCCACCCTTCGACCATCCTTCAGCATGAAAACGGTGCGCAAATCCCGAGGACCCTCAGGAACCCTGGCAGTCATGTTCATGCAAGGGAAAGCAGGCACTGACTTTGGAGGAGTTGTTGGCCTAAATGCAAACACAAACATGAACACGCGAGCATCTCCCTCTGCACTACCGATCTCCTTTCCACTGCAAGCGTGGCACGGTGTCCAATCGACAACTGTGCACAACACTCTATCACTATCGCTAAGAGACAAAACCAGTATCCACACCTCACGCCCGCTCAAAGCAGCTGGAGGTCTTCGAATGACCCGAGCGCGGTAGCCTATCTGGGCTGCTCTCACCTGCCAAGGCCAGTTTTGGGAATCAAACATGTGGGGCCCCAGGATGGAATGCACAGCATTGAGGTCACGAGGCAAGGGTATCCAAGGTCCATGGGTCTCCTTTGCTAACCTGAGAAACACACTCCTAGCATATGTCTCGCTGCGACCTGCTATCAAAATCTGGGACACGAAGAACATCATCCGGAACTACTTCTTGCACTGGAGGGCGCGAACTCTGACTTGTCTTAATAGGAACCCCACTAGGCTTCTCAAACCCAAGGCCGGGTGGCCTGGTCAAGTCTTCGCACTCTCCCTCTGGCGCAAAATCCGGAGCCTCGGCAGAATGAAAGCCAAACTGGAACAAAGGTAAGAGATAATGTCCCACTTGATTGGTCTCAAGATGCACTACCCCTAGGTTCGGGATCTCCAGTGTATCATTGCCACAATCAATTTGGCTTTCATTTGCCTCAACGCTTGAATTGACAGGAGGAATGGCGCCTTTCCTGGGATGACAGATGCCTGCACAAAACCATCCTGCTTGCCGACGCGAACAGGATACTTCACTGTGTAGCTGGCCTTTGTCTCCCCATTGATCCCCTCAAAACGGGTTTCTGATGGCCCCCGCTCGCGAGGCCTCCCCCTGTAAGGCGCTGCAGTTCTTCGTTCCACCTCTTTTCATTCTCGGATCCTACCAAAGTAGAGGTACAACCAGTATCTAGAATAGCGTGCCCAGGAGGTGTCACAAGACAGCATGCTTCGGCACTAGCACTTGCAGCAGAACACAAACCTAGCAAGTCATCCTGCACAAGGCACTGGTTGACAAAACTTTCGACTGAGGTTGTAGCCGCGGCAGGGTCGATGCCAAACTCCTGGGTCGCCACGTAGCCAGAGCGCACGGCCATAAAGTTAAACTCTGGCTGGAACTGCACAGGGAAAGGAGTCTGCTGCGGAGAGGCAGCGCCAGACGAAGTCGCTGTCGCCATGCTCAAGTACTGCGCGCCGGTCGGCTCCTTTCGGGCGCCCTGGCGCTTTCCTGATGACTTTCCTTTTCCCTTTCCTTTGGCCCTTCGATCTCGTCTGGGAGGAGGAGTCTTCTGGCGGGGACGTCTCTGCGAAGAGGAGGAGTGCCTACTGCGCTCCTTCCACTGAAAGTCCCGCGAACGCCCAGTTGAGGATGACGATCTTGGCTTGCCGTCGCGATGGCCATCCCTATGGCTCGAGGAAGGCCGACTGCGGTACGAGGGCGCCTGCTTCTTTTCTGCGCCCTGATCGCTGGGTTCCTTGAAACCCCTTGCCTTCTGCAAAGCCATCAACTTCTGCCTGGCCTCCAAGTAGCCCAGCATTGCTGAATCGTAGTCTTCGTCTTCCTCCGCCAGTCACCGCCATCGCCTTCGGCTCCTTCGGTCTCCTCATCCTTGCCAAACCACCGAAGCCATCTTCTCCCGAATCTTCTCCAAACCAATCTTCTTCGTCGTCATAGTCCTCGTCATAGTCGTCGTCCTGGCCATCCGCCAGGAAGCTGCTATGCTCTGGCTGGGACGTTGCCCTGCCAACCACCATGGCATCAAGCTCCGTCTTCCGAAGAAGCTCTGCCACTTTCTCGTAACGCAGGGAGCCCCCTGAAGAGCGAAGCAAGCTCGCCCGAGTCTGCAGTGTAATGCCCACATGACGCAAGTACAGGAAACCCTTGATCACTTCTGGAAACTGAAACTGCTCGACCACTGGTGGTTCTTCAGGAGCTGCGGGGCCAACTGGTGGCTCCGGCTGCGTCGCCCCTTCAGTCAGACCAGCTACTGTCGCCTGGTGCGCCTGCAAAGCAACCATGTAGTCCAACGAAGCACGCCTAATGGAAGTCCTGCTGGCGCCTGCGTTCCAGCCTCAGCTCTGCGGTGATCAAGTCCTCCACTTTCGCGAGGGTTGTCTCGAAGCGAGTCGTGTAAGCCGTGGTCTCTTCGCCTCGCTTCCGGCGCATCCTGCACAAAAGATTCTCCATCCAGTCCGACAGCTCTTGCTCTGGTGTAAACTGAAAGCGAGAATCGAGAACTGCGAGCATGCTGATCACTCCAGACGCATTGCGAAAAGCTCCTGGATCCTTTTCCCGGAAACACTCGAAGGCTGACCCTGAAAGGTTGGCAATAAGTCTTGGGGCTGCTAGGGTCTGTTTACTGTCCTCCAGTCCATGGAAATACAGAAGTGCCCTCTTCCTGTAATCACGGTAAAGGTCCAGACGACCAGCAAAGTTTGGAACTCTTTTATCATCCTCCTTGGTCTCCATGTTCATGAACAGGATGTCCTTCTGTTGCCAGTCGCCCTGGATCTTAAAGGCAGACCGGCTCCGCTGCCATGTTGATGGGCTGGCAACAATACGTAGCACTAAGCTGACGGGGATGCTTGCAAGGTGCATCAACCTACTCCATATCTTAAGGGATACCTGAAAGACGCGGATGTACATCCCTAGCATGTCTGCATGTGAGGCTCCTGCCTTTTCCGCTCACCGAGAGACTAGCTCATGTGCACACCTTGAGCCATACCAGGCCAGTGTGCCAGCGGTCCTTCATGAACAGGCTGTTTGCCTGCATACATTCACAAAGGTTCACAAACTTATCTGCTCTTGCTCTTGTGGCTCTCATGGGCCTTCCATTACATTCGCATGGTCATCTTGTTGCTGCGACCCCTACATCAGAGCCTAGAAGTTCAGCTTCAAGCCATAACAACGAATCAACAGACCTCAAGCATTTTATCTCCTGTCCAAAAGCAATGAACTTCAGCCCCTGCCTCCATGCACGTTCACACTACAATTTACAAATCGGATGTTGAAGGAACCTGTTCCAACTGAACTGGTTTGATTAGACCTGAGATCCAGTGTACCTATGGAAAGAAAACCCCTAAATGGAAAAGAGACAAAACCTGGATCCCTGAAGGGCCTCTGCATCTAGGTGTGTAGCGTCTGGTGGCGGCTCCTGCCACAGTGGGAAACGTAGGGCCTCCACCTGCGCCGTCGCTTTCAGCAGCTCAGCTTTCCCAATCGGCGTCAGAAACTTTTGGCGCAGCCGCTCAAAAGCCTGCTGTCGCTCCCTTGCATGCGCTGGCTTCGTCTTGAGCAGACGCAAATCCTCATCCGTAGTGCCGGTGCTGCTTGAGGCACCCATGACATCCTGCTTTGACTGCACACTTTGAGCCGTACAGCTGAGACAGAGATGGAGCAAAAGAAAGCGATTTGGGATGTCTTGGTGCAGAACAGCACTGCTGACTCTGCCATAACACCAGGCCTCCTTTTGCAAAGACCTGGAAAATCAGTGTGTGCCAGCGTGTCACATCGTCGCGGTACCTCTGCGAGTTTGGAGGTGTAATATTACCATGCCAGGCATGCCCCTTTTTGCAAATTTCTGGGCCTGTCCCAAGTCTGAAGGAGCCGCTCCCAGGAACCACGTAAGCCATCCGGGCCTGTCAGAACTCCCAGAAGCTGGGCTTATCCAGGAGAATCAGCCCCGGCCCCAGGAGTCTCGGCTGGCCAGGGCCGTGCTGCAGAGCAACTCCAGCGCAGTGAGGCCTCGCCGAGTGCACCAAGCATTCATCAAGCCAGCTCAGCTCGCTCAGCCAACGGCTCCTGCTTAGACGCGTGCCCAACCCTACGACGTCGAGCTTTGTTCGGTACTGGGAGCAGAGCTCCTTCTGCGCAGCAGTCTCCTGTCAGAGCAAGCTGAACTACTCGCAATCAATCGAAGACTCCGTGCTTGCTCCTCGGGACCACAAAAGCTCATGACCTCAGGAGATCGATCGTCGGACAGCTTGCAGCACTCTTGCAAGCTGAATCTGTAGGAACCTCTCAGGCCGGTGCGAAGGAGCTGGCGGCCCAATAGCGACAGTCGCCAGCCACATCTGAATGCGGCCAGCGCTGAGGCCTTGCGGACCCCTCCTATAAGACCAAGGAAAGAAAGACTCCGAGAGAGGCTGCAGAGGCTGCAGCCACGTGGTTGCATCCACGGCCAAGCCAAAGTCCAACAACCAAAAGCATGCCTCGGAAGCTGTTGAGGGAGTTCCAGACTGTGCATGGGCTGACCGCCAAACATGCTCCGTTGCCGCATCTCTTGGCCAAGCGACACGCTTGGATGTTTCCTGCTCAGGCCACATGCTAACTTGCCCGGATGAGGAAAGTCGATGACTGTATACATGCTGCAAGGACTCACACAAGGCAATGAACAAGATGCAAGACTGGCCTCGATGTCGGAACAGGGAAGTAGATGACCACCATCCACGGCATCGCTCAAGAGCACATTGTGCTGGCAGCGGTGGTGAAATAGGCCACAAGAGAACCATTTCGGAATGAGATGTAATGTCACATACTGTTTGCTGCCGGCGCAACGCAATATCACCTTTCCATAGTGCTGCAACATACTGCATCATTTCACGACGCAGCCCATATTGGGTCTTTCCAACAACAGCAACGACGACCACAGCGACAACAGCAGCAGCAGAAGGAGTCATGGCAATGAAGACGATGGCAAGGGCAGGACTGATCATTGTATGAACCGTTGCAATAGATAGCAGGAGACTGAAAATTATGAATGACACAGATGTCCACCGTTGCTAGTGGTGGAAGCAGTGTGACGACCTGGACTTGTCATCTGCTGGTCTAGCACCTCTCTGCAGGTATGATTGTTTCCTGGCCATTTGTTTTGAGCAAAAGTAGGGCAAAGAGATATCTGCCACTTCTTTCTGGCCTCTTTCAAAGTGGGCGAAAGCTTTACACGAAGGGAAAGCCAGCTGGCACAAGCGAAGCAAATGTTAGATACTACATGGAAATGTCACATGCGGAAGCTTCCATTCAGGCACAACACGTGCAAGCCTTCGGGTGTCTCTGATTTTGGACAAATTTGCCAGGTGAGACGTCACAATTTTCAGCCATGGCTTCAGGCATGGACTGACAAGAAATCGATATTTTGTAAAATTTTACAATGCAGGTATTGAGGTTTCACGCGTTTGCTGTAGAGATCGCGAAGAGCGCAGGGCTTTGCGTTACCTTACGTTAAAGGTTAACCGCTAACGCTTACAACACAACATACCGCATCGCATCGCATCGCTGCTCCGGGTTCCTTCGCAATCTCCACCTCATGCCTCGCGCTGCTTTCGCAAGAATGGCGCGGCGGATGCCGACGAGCTTCCTGCCGCGCAACCGCTGACAACGAAGGTCCGGGCAAGAAAGCTGTGGGCCACCTTGCCAACGAGAATCAGACGCGGCAGGCTTGGCCACAATGCTCAGCATCTTTCGTTATTCCAATCTGCTAAAAGATTCAGTCCACTTTGTAATCACGAACTCTTAAGACCTCTGACAAACCAGCAAAAACGAACTCCACAAGCAACCTCCACACATAGATTTAGTCTATAGCTTCCCGCACATCATTCTGCATGCGTCAATCCCGCTGGTCGAGGCGCACATGATTGACGCACGATAGCTGCAAGAAATACGCAAGCTGTTTTTAAAGTTTGCCAAGCGAAATTGCACATGTCCTGTGATATTTCTGAAAGATGACAGGAACTTTCGAACTTTCCAGCTGATGCAGCAGGAACACAACAGAGCTCTGGTGTGTTCGCAGAAGCCACAATGCGCGGTGCGGGTTGGAGACTCAGCTTCGCTGCTTCACTTTACCCATGATGCGGGTTTGGGGTTTGGGCGGATTGCCCCTCGACAATATACAGAAGCTGCGCAACTCGACTTTTCTTCACCTTGAAACTTTATTTAGCATGCTGAGGCGCTCACCGAATTGACGTCTCGATGCCAAGCATGCGGTGCCAGCCGCTCAAGCGTCGGCCCCAACTGCCTGCGCTCTAAAACACAACGCGGGAGAAGGGTGAAGGTCCCAGGCCCGGCAACCTTTCCTTGCACGTTAGTGCAAGCTCTCTATGCACAGCAGGAATTATGTTTTTTGATCCGCAGCATCCGAGCGGATCTGAAAGCCGTCAGGGCTTCGGGTAGGGACAGTCTTGAAAAAACCTAAGTATGCTCAAAGCAGTTCAGCCAAACGGTTCTTCCTTTTGTTTCAAAGATTTGGCTTGAAAGAATGGAGAGCAGGCAGTCTGCACAGCCAGCTACGCCAGCTGCCGGACGGCTTCAACCCAAAACTGGCCGACTCCTGCATGCGCTGCATGCGCATCGACGCGGTGTTCATCCGCGGCCATTTGGCGTATTCTGGCGTAATCTCAAGCTCATAAGCTCAGTGCCTGTTGATGTCCCTGAGTTCTTGGCCCAGAACGTAGGCCGTCTGGCACAACAGCCCAGGACATGATTTTCCATTCGTATCTCTTCGCGTGGCATCAGCTGGCAACGTGCGCATCATCAAAAACATCCTTGTCCACTCACCCCCAACGCATCACAGATGTACCAAATGCCTGCACTCTAACTAACAGGAGACAATACTTCCTGAAACCTGCACATCGGTGCACCGCTCGGCTCCGGCATGCCAAGCAGGCGGTGTAAGTTGCACAAAACTCTTACATCCTGTGCAACTTGCGCAAAACTCCTACCTCCTTGCGAAATCTTGAGAAGCTGCATGGCTGCACATTGCGATCATTGTGCAAGTGGTGTGCGTCTGCTTGCCATGTCTCAAATTGGCGCAAGGCAGCTTCAGTGAATCTCAAAGTGGCAGGAAGCACCGGATCAGGGCAATGGCTAGGGCCTCACAGTCTTCACGGGCCCGCAAGAACCTCTTTGCACTCAGCTGCACTCTGCCGTCCGTAAAGGCCCCGAACACAGCCGCGGCGCACAGCACTGGGACCGTCCTGGCTAGTGACGGAAGTGGACAGGGCTCCCCGAATCTTCACATGCATTATCATGCATTTTGTAACGTTTGTACTTGCACAGGCCTGGTTGGGTGGTGCTGGGCGCCGCAACCAAGCATCCAAGCATTCGCCCGGCAAACGAGCCATGGCCTCAGACCACCACGGGTCGGTTAGCGGAGCACTACCAGCCGAGGATCCTGACTGACTAGACAAACAGGCAGAACATGCCAGAGCAGGCACTGCCGTCTCAGTATTCTACGAGGCAAACACGCCAACCGTTCTCCTTCTGATCAACCTTGATCGAGTTGGCAAAGCGCATGCAAGGCTAAGCACCGAAAGCTTTTCCACACCAGCCCTCAACCTCGAACCTTGTGGCCAAGGTAGCGTGGTATGCGCATGACCTGAAAAATGTGATCCATAGCAACGTCACGTGCCATCACGAACGAACTATAATGTCTTGATGCGCTGCTTCGAATTCAAGGCCCAGCGGCTGCAGACCTGCCATCGCTGCTGACCTCCTTAAAGCGCTCCAGAAGGCTCACCTTCGCACAAAAAGTGCAGCACCCGTCATGCACCAGAATGGCTGCTTCGGGGATGTGTACGAGAAATGCATCAGGCAAGAAACTGCGCCCAACGACTATTAGGAAGATCCAGTCAGTTCAAGCTGCTTGGCTGGCATCGAGAGTATGAGGCAAGTTGCAGGAATGATCACGAACGGCTTAGGAGCTCTTTTCTGGTGTTGCCGCCCATTTGATGCAGGTGAGTGCTCAGGACGGTTTGTGTGCCAGGACGGGTTGCGGGGTTGCAGGGCCACTTCACGCTGTGAGGCGTGTACCTCAAAAAGTGCTGTCAGCAACGCACATTACCGCCAAATGGAGATACGCCAGGGCAAAGATAATCTCGAAAGGACCCTCACAAGCCACCCGCCTACACCACCATTTTTTGCATTTACAGCCCTAAATAGTCTTGGCAGCACCCTGCCTCAAACAAAGCTTGTTCCAGGTCTGCCTGGCAGCGATGAAGCACAATCAAATAGGTGGAATCGGGTCTCGCCGCTCTGTAGAGCTTCTCCTTCTCAATCTGAAATGTGTGATTGGTGGTACTGCGACAGTTGGCAAGATGATTTACATGACGTCAACCACTGAAGCAAAACCGTTTGCCAGACTGAAACCTTCCCAAGCTCAAAAGGTCAGCAACAGATTGCTTCGAAGCCTTCGTTTTGCAGAAAATGTCCTTGGTCACATTCATCGTAGCAGTTTTCTGAAACATGCACTGTAGCAGCGCTGTCAGCACCCCACTTTGAGCGCCACCGGCGCTTCCTTGCCCGTGCCAACCACCTCCCCGGACCAGACCTCGCAGCAGCAGCCAACTA